AACAATAGACATAAGGGTATAATAGTCCAACAAACAATATAAATCAGGAAAAAAGGATCTCATGGAATGATGATAAGGTAATTCTGATAAAGTAGTAAATAGAGTCTCATTGAGTAATAAGTGTAATTCAAATGAATGGTAAGTCAAGTTTGATAAAGTAGTAAGTAGAGTCTCATTGAGTAATAAGTGTAATTCAAATGAATGGTAAGTCAAGTTTGATAAAGTATGAAGTATAGTCTCATTGAGTAGTAAGTGTGATTCAAATGAGTGGTAAATCAAGTTTGATAAAGTAATAAGTACAGTCTTATTGACTAGTAAGTGTGGTTTAAATGGCTGATAAGTCAAGTTTGATAAAGTAGTAAGTACAGTCTCATTGAGTAGTAAGTGTGGTTTAAATGAGTTTAATTATCATTCAAAAACACAACACTTGCCATTCATTCTCATTCTACTAGCAACTCTTTGTGACTCAACTTACCACTTACCATCCATTTTACCACCTAATAAGTAGAGTCTTATTGAATTGTAAGTGTGATTCAAATGAGTGGTAAGTCAAGTTTGATAAAGTAGTAAGTAGAGTCTCATTGAGTAGTAAGTGTAATTCTGATAGAGTAGTAAGTACAGTCTCATTGACTAGTAAGTGCGGTTTAAATGGCTGATAAGTCAAGTTTGATAAAGTAGTAAGTACAGTCTCATTGAGTAGTAAGTGTGGTTTAAATGAGTTTAATTATCATTCAAAAACACAACACTTGCCATTCCTTCTCATTCTACTAGCAACTCTTTGTGACTCAACTTACCACTTACCATCCATTTTACCACCTAATAAGTAGAGTCTTATTGAATTGTAAGTGTGATTCAAATGAGTGGTAAGTCAAGTTTGATAAAGTAGTAAGTACAGTCTCATTGAGTAGTAAGTGTGGTTTAAATGAGTTTAATTATCATTCAAAAACACAACACTTGCCATTCATTCTCATTCTACTAGCAACTCTTTGTGACTCAACTTACCACTTACCATCTATTTTACCACCTAGTATTTTACTTACCATTTTCTACTTGCTTTTTCTTAATTAATTTGTTTATGCTTATTGCAGATGGAAGACAACACTGAGCAAAACAAGAATAACATTATATATGAACTAGTTGATGATGACGGTAATGATGGTGAGTATAATATTCATAATGAAGATGATATCGTCAATTCTAATAATATTCCAACCGAAAGAGATATTAAGCGTCTAGATGAATTAACTGAAAAGGATGTGTTTGAAATGACATTTGATTCAGAAGAAAACGGAGAAAGATTTTATAATTCGTATGCTAAGGTGAAAGGCTTTAGTATTCGAAGGGATCAATTGTATAAGGACAAGAATAATATGGTTATATCAAGGAGTTGGGTATGTTCAAAAGAAGGATACAGACAATCCAAATACCTTGAGGTTGAAGAACGTAAAAGAGAACCAAAACAATTAACTAGAGTTGGTTGTCGTGCTTGTTTTCGTATCAAATACAATCGGAGTACTTCCAAATATGAAGTGAATGAATTTTTCAAGGAGCACAATCATTCCATGATAGGGCCTCTTGGTGTTCAATTTCTTCGCTCACACCGGAATGTTACGAGTGCCGACAAGGCACAAGGCAATGCAATGCATCATATTGGTATGAGGACAAGTCACATTATGGACTTTGCTGCACAACAAGCAGGTGGTTATGAGAATGTTGGGTTCATACAGAAGGACATGTACAACCATTTTGGGACTGAGCGTAGAGTGCAAGTTGTCGATGGTGACGCAGAAGGTGCTTTGGCTTACTTATGTGGTAAAGAAGAGCAAGATCCAATGTTTTATTATAAATATGATGTAGATGAAGAAAATCGATTAAATAATTTGTTTTGGACTGATGGTGGATCTCGAACAGATTATCTGTATTTTGGTGATGTGTTGATGTTTGATACTACGTATCGGACAAATGCGTACAACAAACCTTTTGTGATACTACAAGGTGTGAGCAACCACTTTCAAACGACTGTTTTTGGGTGTGCACTGTTAGCTTCCGAGACAGTAGAGACATACATATGGGTGTTAGAGAAATTTCTTGATGCGATGGATCACAAGATGCCTTTGTCCGTAATCACTGACGGGGATAAGGCCATGTGTAGAGCAATCAAAACAGTTATGCCTACTGCTCGACATCGATTATGTAAATGGCATCTTAAAATGAATGCTCTTTCCAATATCCACATAGAAGGATTTCTTCATAGCTTTGAAAAATGCATGTCAATGCAATGTACACAAGAAATGTTTGAATTAGAGTGGAAGAACTTTGTAGACAAGTATGGCCGTCATAATAACAAGTGGATTGCATATGTATATTGCAAGCGTACTCTATGGGCTGAAGCATACCTCCATGGACATTTCTTTGCTGGTGCAAAAAGCACGCAACGTTGTAAGAGTATGAATGCATTTTTGAATCGATTCCTAAAGGTGCGCCTAAGGCTCTTTGAATTTGTAAGGGCATATGATAGAGCACTTGCAAGACTTCGCCATAACGAAGCTAAGGCACAATCCGAAACTGAGAATACCACTCCTATTCTTTCTACAGGTATGAAAAGGATTGAAAGACATGCAGCTGATATATTTACTCGTGCCATATTTTTCAAATTTCGCGAACAAATAAAATCCGAGCAAGTGTTATTTATGTCAGGAAAAACTAGTAAGTAGAGTCTTTTTAAGCAGTAAGTATGGTTGAATAACATGGTAAGCAAAGAGTAATATAGTAGTAAGTGAAATTTATTTGAGCGGTAGTAAGTGAGACTTATTTGAGTGGTAAGTTAAGTCTAATAAACTAGTAAGTAGAGTCTTTTTAACTAGTAAGTAAGATTGAATAAAATGGTAAGTAAAGAGTAATAAAGTAGTAAGTGGAGTTTATTTGAGTGGTAGTAAGTGAGACTTATTTGAGTAGTAAAGTCTAATAAACTAGTAAGTAGAGTCTTTTTAAGTAGTAAGTATGGTTGAATAACATGGTAAGCAAAGAGTAATAAAGTAGTAAGTGAAATTTATTTGAGTGATAGTAAGTGAGACTTATTTGAGTGGTAAGTTAAGTCTAATAAACTAGTAAGAAGAGTCTTTTTAAGTAGTAAGTATGGTTGAATAACATGGTAAGCAAAGAGTAATAAAGTAGTAAGTGAAATTTATTTGAGTGGTAGTAAGTGAGACTTATTTGAGTGGTAAGTTAAGTCTAATAAACTAGTAAGTAGAGTCTTTTTTAACTAGTAAGTATGATTGAATAAAATAGTAAGCAAAGAGTAATAAAGTAGTAAGTGGAATTTATTTGAGTGGTAGTAAGTGAAGCTTATTTGAGTTGTAAGTTAAGTCTAACAAACTTGTAAGTAGAGTCTTTTTAACTAGTAAGGATGATTGAATAAAATAGTAAGCAAAGAGTAATAAAGTAGTAAGTGGAATTTATTTGAGTGGTAGTAAGTGAAACTTATTTGAGTTGTAAGTTAAGTCTAATAAACTTGTAAGTAGAGTCTTTTTAACTAGTAAGTATGATTGAATAAAATAGTAAGCAAAGAGTAATAAAGTAGTAAGTGGAATTTATTTGAGTGGTAGTAAGTGAAGCTTATTTGAGTTGTAAGTTAAGTCTAATAAACTTGTAAGTAAAGTCTTTTTAACTAGTAAGTATGGTTGAATAAAATGGTAAGTAAAGAATAATGAAATAGTAAGTGGAGTCATTGAAGTATAACAAAGTGGTAAGTCATAATTAATTCAAACCCTGCCCATGTACAATCCAAATCCAAATTACTAAAAAACGACAAAAATCATACGATTAAAATCCATTTGCTTTACATCCTCCCCAAAACAAATTCAGTTGAAATTCACATAATTCAAGTATGAACATGCAACAACATCAATGATACATGACAATTATCTATCACAAGCCAATTCTATCACTCTTGACCCAATTTTATTGTTTGCATCTCAAACTAAGCCCAGTGCTAATCTTTGTCTAGCATCCCACGAGTCAAATTGAAGCAAACAAGCTTCGGAATCAATAAATTGCACCAATTCAAAATACTTGATGACATGAATTCCACAATTATAGCCATTACTTTGTTGTGGAAGCCATTCAAGTGTTCTAATTGGAAACTCGGTAATTTTATTTGTATATGCATTCTTGTACTGAATTCCCAATAAGTCATAACTAATTAGTAGGAAAACATGCAATACAAAATACAAATAACGACATTGTACAAGGATGTATACCACTTTTTTTACTTGAGTTGGCCGAGTTCTACTTCTTCTTAATATATACGGATCAAGGATATATACCACTTGTTGTCGCATGTATACCACACACATATATCAATGTTCACCCGCATCATTAATTGGAATGTACACCTATATTAAATCAATAATCAGCACTATCATATTCATTAACATATTAAACAAAAGTAAAGTGAGATAATAACAAATCAATACCCTTTCACATGATTCAATTTTTTCCCGTGTACCGTTTTGTTCCAAAATAGGACTTGAGCATGTTTGGCTTATGAACCTTGTGTTGCAAAATATGTTGCTACAACTCATAAAAATTAGTATAAATATCAATAACACAAACTATGCAGTCAAATGCTTTTAATTGTAAAATGCATAAGTAAATTACCGAAAAATATGTAGGTAGATACCACGCTGGATATTTCGCATCTGGGATACGATCCTTTTGCTTTAATGTAAATTGCAAAGCAACTAAAGTAATTATCTAAGAAACAAAAACTCATCAATAAATGCAATTATCTTGTACATTATAAATTCATTTGAGCAATGGTTTACTACTTACTTGTCCATCAAGCCAACAACCACGATCTAATGTCCATATGTTTTTGCGCGTTCCATGTTGAATATCAAAGTTAATAAGAATTTCACTATCATATTAATTAAGTGATACATGTCAATGTGACAATATAAATACATGAAACATAAAAGAAAATATTTCTTAAAAGAAAATATTTCTTGAAAGAAATAGAACCTTTCCAATTTACTACGATGAAACAAATAGTCTCTTATCAATTTATCCTCAAAGGATTTTCACCTTTCTCCAATAGTGATTTTTGTTAATTTCATTTAATTAATCAGACATGTTGCTCGAAAATGAAAAATTACAAATGTCATAATATGATTTTTATTAATTAAAATAGTAACACTTAATATTTTTTAGTTAGTTTTGAAAGATAATTAGATAAGTATCACCTCAAAATGATGTGGAACATTGCTCAAAAATTACCAAATAACTTGTCAAATTAGAGAGGTGCATGATTAGATTTCAGAATAAATCAAAGATCAAATTATTATTTATGATTTTATAAAATTTAAAATCAAATCAAACTGAAGCATAAAACATTGCTATGCGACGGAAGTAACGTACCATTGCATATGTTGCGTCTTTTGTGACGTAATGGGTTACCCATTACTAAAAATATCATTTTTTATTATCTTCTTTTTTGCAATGGATTATTTCCATCGCAAAAAATTATATTTAGTGATGAAGTTTTTTACTATTGCAAAAGCTTGTTATTTGCCACGGTTTTTAAGTCGTCGCAAAAAATTCAATGTCATAAAGCCCCTTTTCTAGTAGTGAATGGGACAATTTGTCAACCATTCATGTCCCTCCATTCCAAAAACAAACAAAGTGTATAAATGATAAAGAAAAAAATAAGAAAAAGAAACAAAAAACATAAAAATTACAAATGGGACCACCATTACTTTAAAAAAAAATAAGTAACAAACCATATGAGACAACACAAAATTCATACCCATAACCAAACAAACTGCAAAGCATATGAGACAACCATATACCTAGTATTCTAGAAAGATTTGGGGATTAAGAGAAAAATATAACATCATTTTTTAAAAGTGTAAGCAAATCGAATTAGGTGCAGTGACTTTCCATATCTATAGTCCATTCGAATTTAGGCTGATTGAGGAAAAACCATCTGCATCTATCCATTTAAACCATTAAAATCATTTATTTTGTGATAGATTAGTTGGTCAATTCGATTTTGATAGATCTTGTGGATATTTGTCCACCCCTAACTAAGAGGATTTTCACCTTTCTCCAATAGTGATTTTTGTTAATTTCATTTAATTAATCAGACATGTTGCTCGAAAATGAAAAATTACAAATGTCATAATATGATTTTTATTAATTAAAATAGTAACACTTAATATTTTTTAGTTAGTTTTGAAAGATAATTAGATAAGTATCACCTCAAAATGATGTGGAACATTGCTCAAAAATTACCAAATAACTTGTCAAATTAGAGAGGTGCATGATTAGATTTCAGAATAAATCAAAGATCAAATTATTATTTATGATTTTATAAAATTTAAAATCAAATCAAACTGAAGCATAAAACATTGCTATGCGACGGAAGTAACGTACCATTGCATATGTTGCGTCTTTTGTGACGTAATGGGTTACCCATTACTAAAAATATCATTTTTTATTATCTTCTTTTTTGCAATGGATTATTTCCATCGCAAAAAATTATATTTAGTGATGAAGTTTTTTACTATTGCAAAAGCTTGTTATTTGCCACGGTTTTTAAGTCGTCGCAAAAAATTCAATGTCATAAAGCCCCTTTTCTAGTAGTGAATGGGACAATTTGTCAACCATTCATGTCCCTCCATTCCAAAAACAAACAAAGTGTATAAATGATAAAGAAAAAAATAAGAAAAAGAAACAAAAAACATAAAAATTACAAATGGGACCACCATTACTTTAAAAAAAAATAAGTAACAAACCATATGAGACAACACAAAATTCATACCCATAACCAAACAAACTGCAAAGCATATGAGACAACCATATACCTAGTATTCTAGAAAGATTTGGGGATTAAGAGAAAAATATAACATCATTTTTTAAAAGTGTAAGCAAATCGAATTAGGTGCAGTGACTTTCCATATCTATAGTCCATTCGAATTTAGGCTGATTGAGGAAAAACCATCTGCATCTATCCATTTAAACCATTAAAATCATTTATTTTGTGATAGATTAGTTGGTCAATTCGATTTTGATAGATCTTGTGGATATTTGTCCACCCCTAACTAAGAGGATTTTCACCTTTCTCCAATAGTGATTTTTGTTAATTTCATTTAATTAATCAGACATGTTGCTCGAAAATGAAAAATTACAAATGTCATAATATGATTTTTATTAATTAAAATAGTAACACTTAATATTTTTTAGTTAGTTTTGAAAGATAATTAGATAAGTATCACCTCAAAATGATGTGGAACATTGCTCAAAAATTACCAAATAACTTGTCAAATTAGAGAGGTGCATGATTAGATTTCAGAATAAATCAAAGATCAAATTATTATTTATGATTTTATAAAATTTAAAATCAAATCAAACTGAAGCATAAAACATTGCTATGCGACGGAAGTAACGTACCATTGCATATGTTGCGTCTTTTGTGACGTAATGGGTTACCCATTACTAAAAATATCATTTTTTATTATCTTCTTTTTTGCAATGGATTATTTCCATCGCAAAAAATTATATTTAGTGATGAAGTTTTTTACTATTGCAAAAGCTTGTTATTTGCCACGGTTTTTAAGTCGTCGCAAAAAATTCAATGTCATAAAGCCCCTTTTCTAGTAGTGAATGGGACAATTTGTCAACCATTCATGTCCCTCCATTCCAAAAACAAACAAAGTGTATAAATGATAAAGAAAAAAATAAGAAAAAGAAACAAAAAACATAAAAATTACAAATGGGACCACCATTACTTTAAAAAAAAATAAGTAACAAACCATATGAGACAACACAAAATTCATACCCATAACCAAACAAACTGCAAAGCATATGAGACAACCATATACCCAATATTCTAGAAAGATTTGGGGATTAAGAGAAAAATATAACATCATTTTTTAAAAGTGTAAGCAAATCGAATTAGGTGCAGTGACTTTCCATATCTATAGTCCATTCGAATTTAGGCTGATTGAGGAAAAACCATCTGCATCTATCCATTTAAACCATTAAAATCATTTATTTTGTGATAGATTAGTTGGTCAATTCGATTTTGATAGATCTTGTGGATATTTGTCCACCCCTAACTAAGAGGATTTTCACCTTTCTCCAATAGTGATTTTTGTTAATTTCATTTAATTAATCAGACATGTTGCTCGAAAATGAAAAATTACAAATGTCATAATATGATTTTTATTAATTAAAATAGTAACACTTAATATTTTTTAGTTAGTTTTGAAAGATAATTAGATAAGTATCACCTCAAAATGATGTGGAACATTGCTCAAAAATTACCAAATAACTTGTCAAATTAGAGAGGTGCATGATTAGATTTCAGAATAAATCAAAGATCAAATTATTATTTATGATTTTATAAAATTTAAAATCAAATCAAACTGAAGCATAAAACATTGCTATGCGACGGAAGTAACGTACCATTGCATATGTTGCGTCTTTTGTGACGTAATGGGTTACCCATTACTAAAAATATCATTTTTTATTATCTTCTTTTTTGCAATGGATTATTTCCATCGCAAAAAATTATATTTAGTGATGAAGTTTTTTACTATTGCAAAAGCTTGTTATTTGCCACGGTTTTTAAGTCGTCGCAAAAAATTCAATGTCATAAAGCCCCTTTTCTAGTAGTGAATGGGACAATTTGTCAACCATTCAAGTCCTTCCATTCCAAAAACAATTAGGTGCATAAATGATAAAGAACAGAAAAAAAAGAAAGAAAGAACATAAAAAATACATATGGACCATGAACCATCTTTACTTTAAAAAATAAGTAACACAACATATGAGACAACACAAAATTCATACCCATAACCAAACAAACTGCAAAGCATATGAGACAACCATATACCCAATATTCTAGAAAGATTTGGGGATTGAGGGAAAAAAAACGCCACCTCCAACCACATACTAAAAATTCAAAAAAATACCATACAAAAATAATTTTTTTTTAAAAAAATCAATATATATATATATATATATGATTTTTACTCTATCCATCTACTTACCCATCTACTTTTGTCATTCATTTTCACTAAAAAAAAAAATCAGGAAAAAAAAAGGTTTAAAAAACAGAGAAATTCAAAAAAAAATAAAGCCAAATTACCCACCTACTTTTGTCTTTGATTTTGAACAAAAAAATCAGAAAAGAAAAAAAAAAGGTTTCGAAAGTAGAGAAACCAAAAAAATAAAGCCAACTCACCCACTTTTGTCTTTGATTTTTAAGACAAAAAAAAAACAGGACCACTTCCAGATGATTTTGAACCCAAAAAAAATCAAAAAAAAAACAAAAAAGGAAGACTTGGGATTGCAATAATACAGTTGCATATTCACTCCAAAAGCCATGAACAAGTCGGAGGAAGCCATTGAACAAAAGAAAACCAGTTTAAAGGTTCCAAAAGGAAAAAAAAATGTTTAGAATGCAAACCCTTTTCTTCTTGTTCCTATCACAAGTAGCCATTGAACAGAGCTTCTGGTCTTGTCGACGATCTTCAGGGCAAAAGAGTGGCCAGAATCAAGGCGGGGTTGCGTCGGTGGTGGTGGAACAATGGGATCGAGGCGATGAGAGGCCGGTCAGGTGTGAGAGAGAAGGGCTTGTAGAAACCCTCACACAGTAAAGAGAGAGAGAAGAGAGTATAGAGATAGAAGAACACAGTAGAGATAGAGAGAGAGAGAAGAGAGTACGGAGAAACAAAAAACAATACCATTAGAGAGAGTGTATTGACCGGTGGTAACAAGCTTTTTTTTTTAAATTTATTTTTTAACTTGTTTTGATTTTGGATGGTTAAGATTTAAAGATTTCAATCTAATGATTCAAAATTGTTTTCATGTATGGTGCCCAAATATCACTTTTGGGTACCATAGTGGAACCCCATCAAGCCATTCTTCCCATTCCAAGGAGTTCACAGGTGCAAAAATCGAAACAAACAGAGGTCTGACGCACTCTTATGCACACCTTGAATTTTAGCTTGTTAAACCACACACATTACTTGTCTTATCCAATGACCCATGTATTGTTCCCATGATGGGAGAGAATGTTCTGTTAGAATATTCTAAAGCAAAAAAGATTTGTTAGTTCAATGACACGTCAGCTGCACATTTTGTGCCACACATATTCCACATCATTGCCAACTTATCAACACGCAGGTGCCACGTCATCGACACATCTATATAACAAAACAACTATGCTTTTGAATCTAGATAGGACATGTATCTTAGGTGGCAATGGATTTGAAGATTGAGATTAATTTGAGATTTTGTGTCTTTTTACCTTCATCGTTAGATATAGCCTATAGGCTTGAAAGTTCAAAACATTTTAAACCCATTCTCTTGCTCTCTCTTCACCGTCCAAAATTTCAAGCTCATTTCATCATCATGTTTCTCTCTCTTACACCCTCTTCACTTGGTTCTTCATTGCTTTAGTTCAGTGGTTGTATTCAAACCCATTTCTTCATCACTGTTTCTCTCTTTTACTCTCTTTTCACTGGACTCTTCGTTGTTTCGGTGGTTGTCGTCGGTAGTGGAAAGATCGTTCACTTTCAAGTAAGGCCTCTCTCTTACAAGACCGTTGTCATAGCATTTATGCATGGTAGATCTGCAAAAGCTCATTCTATTATGGTATTTACCTTTGGAGCTCTTTTCCCTCAAAGCCTCCAACTTTCCTCCCCCCCCCCCCCCCCCGCCCCCTACCTTCCTAACCCTGCCCAAAACCCCTTCCTAACCCCACCTGAAACTCTCCACTCTCAACTCTCCACTCTCTTATTCCCTCACCTGAAGCTCCCTCTCCATACCCATATG